TCACTCACTCATTGCTCTTATATTTCGGTCAATATTTTGTTTTTTTCTTAACAACTTCGCAAATTATTCAACCAACTCATTTTTTTACACGCGCTCTTCACGGAAATTTTCTTAACCTGTCCGAAAGTCAAACCGTTCTCACACTTTCCGCGGGGGTTCCTCTTCAGGAATATCAGCAGAATCCAATGGTGCATTGCAAATTCATGCTAGCCAACCCACTTTTCGTAGAATGTAACAAAAGTGCGTACAAAGTACGCGCGACTACCCTTTTTTAAGCTTTGATTATCATTTACAAACATTTAATGATACATAAAGTTCGAAATGTTTATAATATAAATTTTTTGTGACAAATTTTAACTGCCTATCGTGTTTAGTTTTCACGTACCACTTGATTCTCTGAAAAATTCGACCGTTTTTACAAAAACCCAGTTTTTTCGAAAACTGGCCGTGACCCAGGAATTTGGTTTTCGGATTAGTATTTAGGGTAAGGAACTCTAAGTACCACCTAGTGGCTATTACAAAACAAAAATCGTGTTCCACAGTGTATTCTACATGATACTTCTTTATAATATCACTATGAGTTGATTTCCCAATTAATAATGGTGCAGAAATTTCACGATAAGACTTTCCATTTTACAATAATACATTGACTTTTTTCCGCAATTTGACCGACGTGTTTTTACGCATGTTACTGTTCTAGTGATGAACTTACAACTGATCGCAATGACCTTGTGCACGAATATGCAAATTTCCGAGATTCATTCCGAGACCTCGAATGAATCAAAACATTGTACTGCCCGGAAACATTTGGACACACTATTTTAATACTTTTGTAAATAAATAGGTTTAAAATAATACATAGTATTATACTGTTGCATTATTTTTCTATATTTCCGATATCTTTTTATCTAATATTGATAGTAATTTTTTTAAATATATCACTTATGGAAAATATAGTGAAAAATGTTGTAACTATCCGGAAACTTTTACACGCATCTTGTAAATCATAGAGATCATGACCGTAGCATCGTCTCTTACCGTTTCAGTCGGTAGTTTCTCTATGTCTGTCCATCCCAACTTAGTCTCGATCGCGACCAAACCATTCCGTAAGTCGTACCTTCAATCGTACCGGTCATTAACACGTTGACTGCCGCGCGCATTTTACGTGGTTTGTCCATGGCGCCAACATGAATTTTTTATTATGCGATGTATATTATGTTGAAATATCATCTACAGCAGATAAGGGGAGTTATATAATCGTGTTTAATGCAATTTTTGTGGTAGGAGTCCCCCGGTGACCCCCTGGAGGCGCTGTTATTCAGTGCGTCCTACAAACATATAAAGTGCGTTTGTTATACTCTACCACTTTACATAAGTTTTTGCTTTCATTCAGTTTTTCAATTAGCCCTTACAAATATGGTTTTAACTGAAGATTATTGGTCAAGTTCTTTATCCGACAATGCAGTTTTACGAAGACCCTCCAAACAATGTCGATTGCTATCAGATAGTGAGAAAAGTTCATTGAGTAGTTTCTCTATCTGACATGATAAGGGCTTCCACAGTACGCCGGCGCCGAATTGAGTCGGACAGTGAAACTGAAGTTGAAGATGGCAATAACAATGAAGACGACATACAAGAGGAGTTGATTTAAGCTAAAACCTGAGCCACTGTCATCCCGCGACCAGGTTTTGTTGGCCGCGTATATGGAGGAGGCTAATATTCGTGCCCCCTCGCCCCTTTTCACAAGCGGTTGCCCCACCGCCGCTCGGTGGTGTCAGGCGGGTTTAACCCCGCCACCACACTACACCGTCCTATTGACACTGACACAGCGCTATGATGCCGAGGCACACATCAAGCATGTGCTGCGGCAGCTCCTCCGTCACCAAAGCAGCACAGACACATATAATACATACGCATGTGCTGTGCGCGCCCCTCCCGTTGCGTCCGGCCATCCCCTTTTACCCTAGTCCCGTCTGCAGGCGTAGGGCGGCGAGTATCATAACGTGGCTATGTTAGTGATGGTCGACTTGACAATAATTTCTTAAAATTCCGGGTTACCCCGAAACTCGCCGAAATTATTCTCC